ACGGTGGTTATATTAGATTAGTTAATTTCAATTGAAAGTTATTTAAAAGTTGCATTCTAATCCACATCAACTTGTTCGCTCATTGTACATCTCTGTAAGCGGGACTTAACTTTTCGTTATCCTACGTCCATATTGTATTATTTTTTGTTAAGCAAGGTGTTTTTTATTTAATTACAATATTTACAATTAATATTCATTACCTACACATAAAAAAGAAACTATAATATAAACATAAACATAAACACTCACGCCTGTCACCCAGAGGGGTAGGCAGAGACTACAGACTTCCATTTGGCACGATCCTGACACACCTCTCTCGCCTCTTCCACATCCATATACCTACGCATACATGCTCGTCGGTTAAGGGTACTCTTAATTTGGCCCATTTTTAGTATATCGCCAATTTGGTCGACAAACTTCCGCCTAGGACGTCCCTTTCCGACTCTTCCATTCACTTCTGCAACATATATTTGCTTTGTCAGTCTTTCCGCATTCATTCTTTCTACATGACCAAACCACCGAAGCATTCCTTTCTTAATCCTGGTCACCGCATCATCTTGCAAACCACACTCTTCTTTTATCACACAGTTTCTCACCCTGTCACTCAGATTCAGCCCTAACATACTCCTTAGCGACCGCATTTCTACTGCATTTATTCTACTCTCGTGCTTCTTCTGCCACACCCAACTTTCACTACCATACGTTAAAGTAGGGACTAATACAGCACTAACTAAACTATAATATAGAAAACTAAAACTAAAAATTATTAAATAGTCAAAACGACCTGCTCCCCGTGGTATAGTGCCAAGAACGCTGGCTGCGTTTCCTCGCTGAATAGCTATACTTAGCCTTTGAGCGAGGAAAGAACCAGCCCTCTTATCACCAGCAGCGACGACCAGCCGTAGATACAGTTCCTTTAGGATTTATTATTATTATTCAAGTTAAGTTTTCACTGTCCAACAAATTTAATGAGGTAATGATGAACATGATTTGGATTCTTCTAAAATCACTTCAATTTTAAGCAAAGTTTAAACAAACTAAAGAAGCGCGACATTTTGCTTTTTTGTCTCTTAGTAGATCGGGTAGAAATTGCAATGCATGCAAAATCAGTGGTTATCTGATGGTATTTTTCTTGTATAAAACAGAAAATTCTTATTCAATCATCATATACCCGAACATATTAGTTAGATTCATTACTTAAATAATTAAATTATAATATAATTACGTTCGTTAAAAACACTAATACTAAGCGGAACTTTTTACGTGGTACAGTTATGCGGCGTATTGATGGCTGCAGCAAGAATGGGTCTGCTCGCGCGGGTTAGAAGAACACTCACAAAATTCCAGTGTAAAATAGTAGACTCACCTTCAAGTGAACTGCTCGTTTGCCTCTTATCTAAAAAATATTTTTCGTATAGTGGTAACAAGGAAATCCATCTTAGTACTCAGAGCTGGGGACTGAAGATGCATCTGCATTTTGATTCTTAATCGAAGATGATGAAGTTGTCTATGGGCCATAGCATCCACTTACTGCTACTAAGTAGTTTAAAGACAAATGAAGTTTCTTTTTTTTTAAATGCGAAACAACTTTTTGTTTCCCTTTTCTCCATTATGTATAAAAATCAAAATACTGGCTTATTTTCATTGTCATAGATAATTTTATTTTAATTAATTTTTTCCCCGCAACTGAAATTCGTCGAGTACCTCCCACGATCTGCTTACGTCCAGGTGCTCCCTACGATCCGAACTAAGGAAACGTGTAAATCGTTATTTTTAAACCGATGAATGAATCTGACCGGCCAAGACCTTGCGAGGTCCAAGACATCGACCGCCCCGTCAACCGTCATGTCTAGACATTGAAGATCTTTCAAACGTTTAGTTTTTAAAAAGTCTAATCGATTTTGCTTTGTAACTCATAAGTTGAATGAACACAATAGTTTTTTTTTTAAAGAAAATATAATTACCTATATAAAATAAGCAGTTTTTATCTTTATTCTATATTTTTTTTAGTATCTATATATAAAAATCTATTGTTTTCTGTTAGTCTAGTAAACTCAAACACGAGAACTATTTGGAGATTATTTTTTTAGAGAAAATAAATTATGTTTGATGATTATCTTAATGTAATAACTAATAACGCCACGTTAAAACATCCTGCCCAGGCTAAGCCGAGGCAATTTGCTAGTTACACATAAGAGTTACTTTTTCCATAGTATTTTAATGATGCTTTTCAAGTCAATTGTTTATAGTTTATGTGTACCATCGCTTTTAGTAATAAATAGAAACATGTGGGGCAAATCCGTCAATTGTAACGATTAGAAATGTATGTTTTAGAATTCACAGAAACGAACCCGGCTTTGATGTAACTGTTGCTTATTGTTGTTGATGTTGCTCACACGCAGCTACATCTTCTATTACGATGTTTGGGTTTGTTTGATTGAAAAATTAAAAAATGTTTTATTAACAGAAAAAAAATTATACCATAGGTAATATCTGTTGGTTTCCGCACTAGGCAAGCCTGTATCGAGGAAACCTGAGATCAAAGTTCATTAGGCGTTATTTTATACACCTTATCAGACAGGTTGCATTAACATGTGTCCGTGGTAGGAAAAGGGGAGATCTCCCGCCGGGCAAGGTGTTCTGCCCGGGGAGCGGCCAACACTCCGTGTGATAGTTCGGAGATGTTCTATATATACTGTTTCTGATTCGGAATGTTGATAGCGTGATTTAAGCCTCGGTGTATTTCGCTTGTGGCGCGACGACAGCGCCGCCACATCACCCCCCTGCTCAGACCGGAGGTCGATAGTGCAGTCTCGTTGTCGACGAATGTGCAAGTGCCAGGAGATTGCCTTGTAGTCTGCGGTGAGTCGAGAAGAAGGCAAGTAATCTGCGAGAGTACCGTGAAGCAGAGGCGAGCAGTAAGGCTCAGAGCCGTGCCGAACACTGTATAGCGCAGAGAGTAGCTTGAAGGAACAGGAAGCATTATTATTCCAGTGCTGCGGTGAACCTTGTGAAGCTAGCTGGCTTGCAGGATATGAAGACTGTAGACGATATCTGCTCGAGAGCGAATGGGTGGAGTATTTTATGACGATGATGAAGCTTGAAGTTTCCGAAGGTTGTTGGTTACGTGTTCATATCACGTCGGGGTCACCACTGTGTCCGTGGTAGGAAAAGGGGAGATCTCCCGCCGGGCAAGGTGTTCTGCCCGGGGAGCGGCCAACACTCCGTGTGATAGTTCGGAGATGTTCTATATATACTGTTTCTGATTCGGAATGTTGATAGCGTGATTTAAGCCTCGGTGTATTTCGCTTGTGGCGCGACGACAGCGCCGCCACAAACATATACACAAAACAGCAATAAAAGAATTGCTTATTGATAAAATCTATAAACATAAAAAAGAAAGAAACCTTTAACAACTGGAGTGTATTAATTATATATGTTTTTACATTTAAACAAGAAAAATTAAATTAAAACAACAACAATATTTGCCTAAAAATTTCACAAATAACATCAATTAGCAAAAGCCAGTTTTTCTGTGTAATTATTACAATCGTAGTTGAAATAATTATGAACCATTTAGTTGTGGTGTAAGATTATCCACTACGCCATATCGTCCAGTAAATATCGTAAGAAGTGACAGCGGGAAATTAAATAGGCAAATAGCGGCAGCATCTCTCTGATAACAAATCAAAATTATAAAAAGTGAGGTTGAGAATTAAAACTAAAAATTACAACCCTAAAACTAAAAATAGGGTTGCTAAATTTTGACATTGTGCACTCACAGTATTGGCAATATGTATAAAGGTCGGGCAAATATCCGAGTTTCAGTCACAATTAACACAAAGTAATCCATAATAAATGTAATTCTTACAAATATTAATGGATTATTAATATTATTGGTTTTTAGAGCAATAATGTTTGTCCATGTTTAAAGTGTCAATTTAAAATAGGTCGTTGGTAGCATCGAAAAAGTGACGTAATGGTTTTTAGGTTATTTTCGATTTTGTAAAATAACTCCAACACCCGGGTTTTTTTTTTCAAAAAGGACTTTTGTAGGAGTTAATAGGATTAGTGTAGTCAATAAAAAACAAAGTTTGATTTTGATGCAACTTGGTACGAGATTCCATACATCTATGGTCATTCTCCTTTATGTTTATAAAACTGCTCCCACGATACAGGAGAAAACCCTAGTGTGGAGGTAATGTTTTTTTTTTATAGAAACGGCGGTTGTTAATCTGCCTGCCAGTCGTGGCAACTGTGGCAGTGTCGCCTATGAATCAGTCTATGCGGGAGGCCTATGTTCAGTGATAGACTAGACTATATAGGCTGTTATTAATGGTATGTTGAAATGCAACCCGTGACAATTAATGACGCCTTAGTTTTAAACGACATTAAATCAGTTAACACTTTGATCAAAAAGCAATCGTATATCATTGTCTCCTTTCTAGTATTCAGTCGCTCATCGTGAAATTTTAAAGATGCGATTGTCGGGGTTACGCGTACTAACAAAATACAATGTTAAATTCTATATGTCAACGGTTATGTATAACGGAACCGATTGTCAATAAACTGACAGACATGAAGGAAAACATGATTTGTGTTTGGACGCCTATCAATAATGGCTTGCCAATAACAATTGAGCTTTAGCTGAACGTAAGCCAAATGATAAGGGATCCGGTCAATCATAACTAATTGGTATCGGTCTACATTTCACAAGTGTTCGGGCGGTGTCGAATCTCCAAAGTCAGCGAGGATTAATGCTAGCGAGGGAAACGTGCGATTCTCGGGACGTTCGGAAGCGCCGCCCGCGCACCTGCCCTCTCCGTCACTCTTCCAAATTTAAATCCGAAACCCCCCCACCGACGCGACCGCCTGCGCCGCTAAACATTCTGGAATAATTCCTCCAATTCAGCTACCGGTGCTCGCCATTCGAATTCGGGTCGCGACCGCGTTCGGTGATATCGCTTTCTTCGCAAAAACAGGCAGCCCCGACTTCTGCCATGGCCGACGTAGACGTACAAGTCCAGTATACCACTACCGAACGAAAGACCAGGAAGGTCAAGAAATCTTCGAAGCGTAGGGAGTCTAAGGATGGCGACGTCACCGTCACCGAGATCGAGCAGACCAACACGACCAACACCAACGACGATGGGTATGTGTAGTGGTGGCCAATTCCCTTGACCCTGGTGAGAAGTGCGATGTGACGCTAGTGTGTCTGTGACGGCCAAGTGTCGATTACCGATCGAGTTCGACCTCCTTTAGTGACGTGTAGCGTTCGCTTGCATTTATCGATATGTTGTTAGGTGCCCCTTTTTGGCCACCCTCACATACCCGACCTAATTTAAGGTACATGTTCCTGAAATCATAAAACATTGAAAATCTTGCAAACTACTCCAAAGATAGACACACTATCAAATTACGATTAATGCTTGCTGCTTTTTGTAATATCGTACTGCCGTGTTTAAGTAGCGATTTTTGCAGAATTCGATTGTGCGATGTGAGATTGTGTTTATGTTACGAAGTGTATCAACTTGAGCTTTTTTCCTCAGCTCATTTTCAGCGGCGAATACACGAAGGCGATGAACAAGGACTGGCACAGCGGTCACTTCTGCTGCTGGCAGTGTGATGAGTCGCTGACTGGCCAGCGATACGTGCTTCGTGATGAGCACCCCTACTGCATCAAGTGCTACGAAAGCGCCTTCGCCAACGGCTGCGAGGAGTGCAACAAGATCATTGGAATCGACTCTAAGGTCAGAATCATTAGGCTCACATTCGCTTGCAAAACAAATTCACTAAACATTTAATTATAAACACGTTTGCTCGTTAGTCAATTCATTGTACTGTATCTAATGTTAAGCTTTTGATGTATAAACCTGACATCATAAAACATATATATAAACAGTCAGTCACGAACTAATTTAGAAGTTTATGTGTTCTATTTATCAGGTGCAATAGTTTAGTAGAATATTCCCACGCTGTCACTAATCACTCATATAAAGTTAGAATTATTTACTACTACACAGCAATCTACAAGTACAATCAGCTATGTATGCAATCTTAAATACCATCAAAGATCGTCTTTCGAATGTCATCCTTAGAATAGCATCGGATTCGATGGCATTGCTTAGCTTTGTTACGCTGATCAAATTTAGTTATGTCACTCCAGCCGGCCCAGATTCTTCAGGCGTACTTCTGCACACGGCCCCAGCTAGCGTTGCCAAGCCAGCATAAAGTGATACGCGGCTACGCTGAACTATACATTTATCTCTGACCACGCATGACTTTTCCTGTCGGACAAAACATCTGCATAGTGTACACCAAACAATTGTTCTCGCAAAATAGTCTGCTTTCATGATTGCATTTCGAACGCAGTAGAGATCTACAGGCTCGAATCGAAATCTTTAATAGATTTATTTTTTTATCGAAATACGGACTTTTAGTAGATGTTTCATTAAAAATAGAATTCATTATAGACTACAAAATAAACATTCGAATATGTGTTGTTGAAATTGTTTGTAGGTTTAGCTTGGAAATCGGAAGCGTCGTGTTTTTCGAAAACAAAAGTCGTCATTCCAGCTGAAACTATTTCTGGGACAGTTACAATATTTTGGCCGATTTCGTTTCGGGTTTAACCTTGGGAACCCGTGCGTGAATTCATCATGAGATTCTCTGGAGATTTATGTACGATTCGAGCCGGCTAAGTGTTTCGTAATCGGTGAAAATAAACATTCATATTTTATTGACATTAGTTTTAAGCTCGAGTTCGCCGTTTCTTGTCGGGTTGCCAGGAATAGAACATAGAATGAGGGGAGCTTTATTTTGAAACCGAAAGCATTCGTCAACGACCGTTGTGTACAGTTTATCTGTATGTTAATGTCAGCTTCTTAAGGTAGACAAAATAGTTATAGTTTCATCTACCCGAAAATTTTACTACTCACATTTCACTGTGCGTGGGTTTGGTAGTTCTACTCGCTACTCGATACTCAATTTAATTAATATAAAATATTGAAAATGAGGCAACATTTTTTTATAGTATAAGACTGACAAGGAGCACACAGTCTGTCTGATGGTATGTGGATGGTGTGACCCATAGACATCTGCGCCTATCCTCGATTAAGTATAAAAATGCAAATACGTTGTCTGTCATCTCTCAGGTATAAGATGGAATGGCTCGTTCCTAGTAAAAGAGGGTCTCCGGTTTTTCTACATTCACCATACGAAACAACAGCAGCTGCCTTTTTACGCTGGTATTCTGTGATATCCCGGTCGAATCTACCCATACCTGCTACAATCGCAATATAACTACAGCATGGCTCTATCACGATTAAAAGTATTAGTCAACACCTTTGGGTATTCAATCCTCTCTGGGTTATGAAAGAATCACATGGTCTCGAAATATATATTTAGAGGAATATTTATACTTCGAATAATGAATATATTTCTCAGACATGCAGGTTTCCTCACGATGTTTTCCTTCACCGTTGAATATGTCGTAAATCAGCACTTATAATTGCAATTAACAATTTCTTTGGTGCCAGCAAGTATTAACCCAGGTTGTTTGGGAACTGTGAAAATTACGACGACCGCTTAACCCTTATTCTACTACGGCTCTCATACAAGTGTAATCCAATAAATTACAAATCATTACTTGGTCGGTGAACCTGCAATGTGTAACACATATTGGATTGATGCTATCGAGTAACAGTTTGAAGCATAAAATATTATGAAACTGGATTTTCGATTGTGTAATTGTTTGAAATTGTTCCAACTATTGCCGAAATAATGTTCGGACACTCTAGAACGCGTCATGATATTTGTGTACCACCTGTAGATATCTATATAATGCGCTTGATATTATTTCACCGTGAAGTATAGGTTTCAATGGTTAACCACAAATACAACACATCATTAGAATGATTTTTATGCTAACGCGAGTACTAAGCATTCAATAAAACTAACTTACGGATTTTGTCGCGTTTTATTTTAACTTGAGTGCACTCATGGTCGGTTGAGCTAAGGTATTAGACGTCCTAATGTCATTGTTATATTTAAAAGCGAGAGAATGCCTACCTCAAAACATCAGGACCTTAAACACCTCAGCTTCCTGCTCCGTGAGGGGTATTATAAAGTGATCGAAACGTCAAAAATTAAAAACTAAAAATAAATCGGGAATTCTATAAACCGTAAAATTAGTTTTTTTTTTTTATAGAATAGGGTGATAAACGAGCACACAGTCCACCTGATGGTAAGTAGTTGCTGCGGCCCATAGACATCTACATCTATCCTCCATTAAAAATCAAAATGCAGATGCGTTGTCACCCGTGAGGACTGAGATGGAATGCCTCGTTTCCAGTAAAAAGGGTATCCGGTTCTCTACACTCACCATACGAAATACAGCAGCATTAAGCTACTATTTCACGCTGGTATTCTGTGAGAGCGTGGTCCTTCCCCGGTCGAGCCGACCCATTCGTGCTACAATACAACTATACTACTAATATAACTGCAGCATGGCTCTACCACGTAAAAAAGTTCTATTATTCTAGATCATTAAATGCTATAAAGTTATAACGTTGACGCACAATACCTTTAATAATAATCGATGCCGATGAACGATGGCGATTAAGAAGACGTTAGCTATCACTATGCTATGTTGAATGGTTTGCTTAGACATTAACGGCAAAATGTCAACAGAAATAATGAAATTATTCAAAATCTTTGTACTAAAAGATATGTTTTACAAACCACTATATGCAGTTCAAGGAAATTGCTAACAGCCACCGCTTTAATCACCATATTTTAATTATTACTTTGGATTTGATGTAGTGGGGGCGTAAGAAATTCACTACCCCTTATCATCCCGAGCGCAGAGGGAAATGAAACGGGGGGATGTCAGCAGTATACCTTTCTGAAAAGCCTTGTCAGGCTAGTTTGCAGTAAAAAGGGTCTACGGTTCTCTACACTCACCATACAAAACACAGCAGCATTATGCTGTTATTTTATGCTGGTATTCTGAGAGGGCGTGGTCCTTCCCCGGTGGAGCCGACCCATTCATGCTGAAACTATAATATAGCTGCAGCATGACTCTACCGCGTATACCTAGTGAATTTCTTATGCCGCACTGTACGTGTAAAATAATAATTACTGGGAACACAACACTACACACTACACGACATATATTGTACCTCATAATATGCTATACACATAAAATAAAATGTCAATACAGCGGATCTGCGGAAATCGACAACGTTTTGCAAGGCGGTGTTGGATTATCGAATTAGTCGGACTATATAGTACTGCCACAGCCCCTGGTAGTCCGCAACTTTTTGATAAAGAGTACCTTGTAATCCGACAGATATAAAATAATAATATATATAGTCATGTGATGAACAATGAATACCTGAACAGTAAATAATGAAAGCCCTCTAGGCCGCTACCACAGTTACATTAGAACTGAGACAATACGCGTCAAGCTGGATTCGTGTTGGCGCGAACTTATTGCAACCTGCTTGTCCACGTATTCGTGAAAGACACCTCCACCCTGGCGGATTCACAGCGTGACTCGAATCTATCTGCAAGCTAGACATGTAGGATTACAGGAGGGGACGGATTAGCCTGGGGCCGGATTACCGGGTGTCCGCTGTAATAGTAAACAAATCCAATGGTTAACACAGTAATTTAAAAAACACGATTGTGTAAAAAGTTTACCGAAAAGAGAAAATATACCCTACGACTACGTCGTTTTCACAACTACTCGTAAGACAGATCTAACTGCAACCCATTATGTATACTCGTAAATCCATCAAGACGTTAGCCGTACATACTACATCATACATACACTCGAAAAACATTAACCTCCTTCTGAGGCAGTCGGTTAAAATCTTATCATAAATAACTCTTTAAATTAGACATGTGTAATTCATTCATTTCTATTGGACCGATCATTCATGTATTGATTCGTTTTGCGAACCGGGACATTCGGGTCAATCATTTCAATGGATCATTTCGAGTGTTGGCCGTCGGACATTACTATACTCTTTGATCTTGTCAATCGCTTGATCCGAAACATTCAAAAAAATGAAATTGTAATCATCAATATTTTGCTGCGACCTGGGTCAAATGAACGAATAATTCACAATTGACACGTATCTACTTTAAATGTAAAGATATATAACAAATAATACATAGGTACGGTTAAGTCAAATGCTTCAGTAGAAAAAGGTTTAATTTAATAGTTAAGATTCATATAGCCTGTTATGCGGATCAAATCTAACTGGTCAATTACTTGGATGAAAATTTTGTATACTAAGCAAAGTGAAGTTTCTATTTAATGATATTTCTATGGATGTAACATACATAATTGTACCGATAATATACCGACACCGATTATTGTATTAAATAATCGGCAATACCGACACCGATACCCTTATCAGTGACGGAGTAGAAATAGAAAAAAAAACAAATAAATAATGAATAATTTTATATTTATCAGAGACTGAACTTTGAGAAGTTTGAAAACCAAAATTTCAAATCAAAATTTCAATACAAAAATTCAAAATTCCAAGAAAACATTTATTTATAGGAAATAATCAAGCATATTCTAAAGCAATCAAAGCGCTTATCAAGAAAGTAATTTTCATTACACAAAGTGGTAAAGTAAACCGATATAAAAGACAAAGGCAGTAATTATAGTTGGCTTTTGGTAGGTTTTTGTGAGGAAATCAAAGTTAGTTTAAATTATTAGCAGATAATCTGTTACGCAAATAATTTTGAAAGACATCTGCAGCAAGAATGTCGCGCGCACATTGTTCGTTTCGCGCGTTTTTTAAACTCTTGATATTGGTTGTATATAATAGGCGATACCCATATACCGGTCAGCCGATTATATCGGCCGATATGTCGGTATCGGTACCGGGATCATTACATCCCTAGATATTTCAGTCTAAAGAGACAGGGCGTTTTCTTGTGTACATTTAAGTAAAGAACCAGAAAGATCTTTTTAAATTTGACATGGCCTCTGATAAATAGGCTTTTAGGTCAGTGCGCTTACCACCTTTTGGCTACATCACCACTTACTATATGTATAAATAGGATAGTAAGTAGTCAAATAATATATATATGTATATATATATATATATATATATATATATATATGTTTGTGTATATGTTGATGTATATATATATATATATATATATATATATATATTTAATGTGTGTATATATGGTTAAGTATATGTTTATATTTATAGACCATGAATAAATTGGAGTAGATATTTAAAGGGAAAGCTTTGTAAAGTCAGACGTGCACAAAATTCTGTTTTTTGTTAATACTTATGTGTATATGGCTCTCACGATACAGGTCTACGTGCCTAGTGTGAGAACCACTGCTAAATTATTTGTAAAGGTGCTAACTGTCAAATAAAGTATTTTTCATTTTTTTCATTTTTTCAAATGCTGGCTTCGAAAAGTAAAAAAAAAATGGCGCTATAATTTAATCATCTAGTATATAGCGAATTTAAAATACCCAGGCAGATGACGATAAGCAGCGTTGAAGATGCGAGACTTTTGGTATTCAAATACGCCGGTCAAACGTGGCGATACCGGCAAACCCTTCATATGATAGAGACCTGTGACAAGCAGTTATGACTTATACGGCCTATTAAAAAACAAGAAGAATTATTTTTCGTTTCCGAGAACACCGACTTTTCAAAATGCTCCAGACGGAGAAATTGAAGAGCTTTCAAATTGTTCGCTCGACTGTATTTTAATTTCTACCCACACTGCTTTAGCAGATTTTAATGTTATTGTTGTATTCGTTAACGATGGGTATTTCCAATGCAGATAAAGCAAACGTTAAACCAACATTCGATTTAATGATTTCTTAAAATAAATATGACTGAATCTACTTTTTTTATATTAACTTAGATATACTTATCACAAATGTGCAGCGGTCAATTTAGATATACGACTAAAATATTATAATTTAAAGTGCAAAATATGTATGATTTATATTTATATAACATTGTTTTTACGATTATATATATATATATATATATATATATATATATATATATATATATATATATATATATATATATATATGAGGGCAAATATTTTTTTAAACTTTTAAGAAACGAAATCAACTTGAAATCAAGTTAGCAGTAGGTACACATTTTGCTAGAATGGTGTCGGTTTATCGAATTGTTACTGGGCGTCTGAGCTGTGCTGATTGCTTAGCCTTGGAGGCTTGGGTCTAAATCGGCACCATGTGAAGGGCTGCAAGATTAGTAAATTAAGACTATACTATTTTGGGATTTCAGTAGTTCTCTTTACAATAAATCATAGATATTTCAAATAGAAGTAGCCGTAGAAATATTTTTTATTAAATATTCTTATACATTTATAGTCGTCACGTTGAGTTGTCCTAGGGCACCATTACTTACTTGTAAAAAATGCTACTGCACCTTCTTGAAAGAGACAAAATCAATAAAAGCTTTTTTTTTTGCAATTCGCAGTTCAGCACTTTAATTTTAGCTACGTTATCCACCAAATGCTCAACATCATCATCATCATCATCAGTTTACAACCCATCACAAGTACATGGCTGAATAAAGGCCTCGCCAGACTTCCTGCATCTCGTATCAGGTCGTGACTCCATGTAGAAAGGGGCCAACCTACACTTCGTTTGGCACTCGGGAACTTTTTCTCGACATCAGTTGTTGTTGAGCGCCGATGTTCATCTAAAAGTTATTTTCTTCTTTTTCTACAGGACTTGTCATACAAGGACAAGCACTGGCACGAGGCCTGCTTCCTGTGCGCCAAGTGCCGCGTTTCACTGGTGGACAAGCAGTTTGGTTCCAAGCTTGACAAGATCTACTGCGGCAACTGCTATGACGCCCAGTTCGCCAGCCGGTGCGATGGATGCGGCGAAGTATTCCGTGCTGGTGAGTAATTTGTTTCCGATAATCTTTATAAGCTTTTAATACTTTCATTGTAGGTAAACGTCTATATATGTATGATAGGCCTTAAAATTGAGCACGTATTTATAGGTATCAAGTTCAGCTCAAAAACATTGAATATAATATTATAATAATACACATGACATACATAAAAAGTACACATATGTCTGACTATTTTTAGGGTATTTGTAATGTGTCCCTGTTTTTTTTATGAGAAGCCAAAAATGTGCACGTGGAAATCATATATCTATCTCTCACTCTTTTCACTGAAAGACAATAGGAGAAAGGTATAGAGATAATTAATTCAACGATTATAGGTAGGCCGTAAATCATTATTACGTCATTTTATACAATTAAAAAAAATTAAATACAAATAAACATTCTGTATACAGGATGTTAGTGTAAACACCGTTATCCTTGAAACCAGTTGTTTGGTTTCACTTATACAACGTAAATTCAATGAAAAATAAGAACATTTTTTTTAGTAAAATCTCAATTTTTCCTTAAAATTATTTCACCCTAGGTGCGTAGGCACAGTAAATTCCAGTAAAGAACACAGAAGCGCGTGGCTCGGCGACGGAGGGCGGGCGGTAATCTTTACAGTGATTACGTCACTCGGGCGCATAGGGTATCAATGAATTTACGGACGGTGCCGGACAGAAATTTTTTAAATTTTATGAAAAAAAATAGCGTTTTTTTTTTAAATTCGTATAAATATTTTTATATTAAAGCCAACTACCTATGGTTTTAGTGACAACGTTGTTTACACTTACACCTTGTATATTGACATGGAAAACATAGAAATATTTATCTTGCTGTTAGAAGTCTTTTAACTACTCACAATACACGGATATTCGTTTCCTGCAATACGAGTGGTTCCCTCATATCCGATTTAAATCCTTAGCGGTAGTGATCAAAAGAGAGCTTAAAGCAGTGTTAAAGAATCAGGGAGAACCACAATGCGTCGCACCCCAAGCCTTTTTCTCTTTGTGCAATTTTCTTTTTGTACAAATATTGACTTCCACTAGGTTTCACCCTCACGGCTCATACAGAACGCGAGTACAATAATTGATATATCATACTCAATTAATTAAGTGCATCTGTACTTTATTCCGTACAACGTTGTAATGGCGGTGTTAGGATATCTACAACACTTTATAGTCCAGTGGTAGTTGTGAGAGGCCACAGAAGGAGGCTGAAAACGAAGATGGTCAGCGGCTTCTTTCTAATAACCATAAAAAAAATAAAAAAACTGCGATTGCCAACCCATCTGCCAAGCAAGACAACTATGGCAAATGGGGGAAGTTCATGCGGAAATCTATGGGAGGCCTATGATCAGCAGTGGGCTTTGATATACTGTAATGAACAAATGTAGGTACTTGTGCTTGGATACATTGACATTGCTAACATATTAAAATAGACTAAACCAATTGATACGTCTAAATAAGGTGCGATGAATCAAGGCACTCGTAAAGTATCCTTTAATCGTTGTTACAAGGGATTAGCGAGGTGCTTATGTGACTCATGCCTTACATATGATCAGAAAACACGTTACATTTACTATAATTTATTAATTTTTTATATAGGACAGGGTGACAAACGAGCACACAGTCCATCTGGTGGTGATTGGTGGCTGTGGCCCATAGACATCTACATCTACCCAAATTATTGAGAAATTATCGAAGTGAATTGTTTTGGAACCCAAAAATTTATAATATAATGTAGTTAAATGCTGATTTTAGTTAATTAAACTTAGAATCCTTTTAAATATGAATAATTTACGTTTTTCTACACGTCCTTTTAATTTTTTTCAAAAGTGTAATTTTTTAGGACTCAATTTTAACTTTAATGGGAATTTTAAGTAACAACTGCATATGTTGCTGTATTATAATTTTATAATATATATTTACTAATAAGAAGTGAAAGAGAGATACAAATCAGGAGATGGGCAGTAGCTTCTTCCTAATAACGGCTAAAAAAATTGCGGCTGTCAACCCCATGTTTAAAAAAAATCTTATAATAGCCGAAAATTAAACTCATCATAAAATGAGGGGAAACTCTGAAACGTAACATATTTATAACATTTGAAATACCTTATATGTAAGTAAGTGTAACGCGTCAGGAATCCTCGATCGATACCAGCCTTTTAAGGGCCATGAGTTACCCTCGCTTGATAAGGAGCCAGTGAGGTTAATACGAGAAAAAACCGGCCATTGCCAATGCCGCGACCTCGCAGTCGCCGTACACATAACGGGGCATATTTTTGACTTTTATACTGTTCATTAAAATGGCGGCTTACGAGTTACCAGAATATAATACATTCAATCACCTGTTTTCCTTTAACTGTCGCATTTGCGAAATATATAAAATTTTCTACTGTAACTATTATAACTATTTCGATACTCCCACACTCTCTATAAATTGTTATTATAGTCGTGGCAGGAACAGGTCGACTCGACCGTGGAAGGACCACGCTCTCACAGGATACGAGCGTAAAATAGATAGATGTGTTTCGTATAGTGAATGTAGAGACCCGGAGATCCTTATTACTGGAAACTGGACATTCAATCTTAGCAGTCAGGGGTGACAACGCATATGCATTTTGAATCTTAATCGAGGATAAATGTAGATGTCCATGGGTCTCAGTATCCTCTTTCCATGAGGTAGACTGTGTGCGCGTTTTTTACCCTTATTGTATTAAAAAGAAACTCTTTTTACCGTTTTTGCTTGATCATCCACAATGCAGCAACGTCAAAGGTGCGGAAACTTTTGGTACTGCGGACCACAATCCCCTGAGAGTCTGTTATGACAATTAGTCAGATAAAAGTTATCTATAATATATGATATAACCTGGTGGAATATAAAAGCGAAAAAATTGAACTATTTTATTCAATACAACTTTAATTTTTAATTTGGTTGTGTTGTATTTCGTCGTATGAATAACTTTTATCTGACAATTGACAAATGGGCTCTTAATAAAATAAACCCTGGCGAAATATAAATAAATAAGTAACTTTCATTTTGTATATGTTGTATTTTATTCTATGAATGAATTTTATCTGAGAGTTGTAAAATCGGCCCTAACTCACACTAATCTACGCTTTATAAAGCGTAGGTAAGTTCACCACAACGTTCTCGACTAATCTGCACAAACTTAAACTCAAGCCCTTATGTTTAGTGAGAGGGGACCACATCCCCGCTTGCTAAGTCGTCTATATACATATTACGTACTTAATTTTTTTCTTTTAATACGTAATTGTATGTACCTACTTTTTAAACACTTGTTTTTTGCTCGTTCTTTCTATGACATAGTTATTTTCATATTTAGCGGTAAATAACAAAAAATCAACTTTCAATAAGTTTAATATTTATACTTTATATATTTTTGTGTAAAACATTTATTTACATAACATTAATTATTACCATAATAAAACAAAAAAACTGAAAACTAAAACTATCACATACCTACTGCCTGCGGTATAGTGCCAAGAACTATCTACGTTTCCTCGCTGAATGGCTATAATTAGCCTTTGATCAAGAAAAAACCAGCCTTCTTATCACCGGCAGCGACGGCCAGTCGCGGGTACAGTTCCTTTACAAACTCCACCGCACGTGGACCCCACGGACCGACAGTCTCTACAGCTAATGCACAAATATGTAGTCATCTCTCAGAGATTCATACCTGTGTCACTTACTCAGTTCAGCCGCTCCTGATGCCCCCGGCTCTTAAAGAGGTACCCTTAAGATGAGAGGCTGCCAAAGTGTCTACGCACGCAGCATCACACACCAGAGCTGATCATATCTCATCTCATTTCTAGACATCTCTCCGAAAAAAAAAACAATACCCATGTCTTGTGGAATATTAAGTAACAACATTTTATTACACAGATATTGTTAAGTTACGGTTAAGTTACATATTAGAGACGTAACAGTTCTCTAAATAGTCTCGATGTTACCAAAATAACAATTGAAACAGAAACGCACGTCATAAAATTAACATGAACGCCCAATTAGGCGCCAAACAAGCTGGCGGCGACGCCTTACTAATGCCACGATTTTCGTCAATTGGGAAACTAAATTGGATTGAATTGGAGGCCATGTTGCTCGGTGTGTTGTGTATAATGTATGTTGGCCAATAAGTTAGGAAAATTGAGGTCCCTAATTAAATTAGCGTTATAAAGCAAAATCATTTTGTGATCTCAATTTTGTTACACGTGTTGTCGTTTTCCGAGGTAATGAGTTTGAGAGCTTGATGATATTTGCCTGTTATTAATTTTAATTAAACTAATTTTAAACAAAAGTAATTAATTTCTCATTAACTTAATAGCACAAACATTAATTGTCCTTGCTTATATTATATAGACACACAAATGTTAAAATATTTTAAAATGAAAATTTAAAAAACCCCCGAAACAAAAACAGCTGATCTGCAAACGGCTGAACCAATTTTGATAAAACTAAGTGTCTAGGTGGTATAGGAACCACAGCTAGAAAACCTATATTTGAATTTAAAAAAAACCGCACCCAAATCGATTCACATGTTTAAGAGCTACGGTAACATAGACCGACACGCAGACAGACAGACACACATAACGGTCAAACTTATAACACCCCTCTTTTTAGTCGGAGGTCAATTAGAACACTTTTCATCGATTACGATGTTTCAGAATTTGCAGTCTTGTTTGGCAGACTACTGGTGACCGCTTAGTTGACTCATACGATGTTAGATTAGATTTTTTTTTAGAATAGGTGCGACAATCGTGCACACAGTTCACCTGCTGGTATAATTATTATATCTCGCGGATACTGCGGCCAAACATCTACATGTCTATGAACCGCAGCATCTGTCTTGTGGTACCGCGGCATAAATGTAGATCCATCCTCGATTAAGAATCAAAATGCAAATGCGTTGTCACCCCTGAGGACTAAAATGGAATGCCTTAGTTTCCAGTAAAAAGGGTCTCCGGTTCTCTGCACTCACCATA